CCCTCCCAGTTCTCCCAGTTCCCTCCCAGTCCTCCCAGTCCCGCAGCACTCACGCCAGCTGCCATCGGCCCTCCTGCACAGATACGTCTCCCCGATCTCCACCGCCACCTCCGCGTCCCGCGCAGGCCCCGCCGCTCCCTGAGGGCCCCGCGCGGCCCCGGGACCCCCCCCGGGCCCCCCGGGAGCCTCCGGAGCCGCTCGGGGCCCGCCCGGGGCCCCCCCGGAGCCTCCCGGGGCCTCCGCGGCCGCTCCGGGGCCGCCGCCGCTCGCCGCCGCCATCTTGGAGCGCGCCGGAAGTGACGCAATGCGTCGCTATGAGACGCCGGAAGGGGCGGGGTTTGGTTGCTAGGAGGCGCCATAAAAGGCGCGGCTTGGTTGCTAGGAGACGACGTAAAGAGCGGGACTTGGTTGTTAGGAGAAGACGTAAAGAGCGGGACTTGGTTGCTAGGAGGCGACGTAAAGTGCGGGGCTTGGTTGCTAGGAAACGTAAAGCGCGGGAATTTGGTTGTCGCTAGGAGACGGTCCGCCGCTATCCCAGGGTGCATTGCGAGAAGGTTGGAGGCCTAAAAAATTGGGATTTTTGGAGTTAAAAGTTGGGGTTTTTGGGGCTAAAAATCGCGATTTGAGGACTAAAAATTGGGAAATTGGGTTCCAAAGGGGGTTTGGGGCCTAAAAATTGGAATTTTGGGTTTAAAAATTGGGATTTTGGGGCCCAAAAAAGAGCCGAGCCTGGAGCAGATTCCTCACGTTTGGATCCCAATTCCCCTTTTAGGCCCAAATTCCCAATTTTTAGTTCAAATTCCCGATTATTTTTTTTTTTCACCCCAAACTTCCAACTTTTGGGTGCAAATTCCCCCTCCCCCTCCCCCCCGTGACGTCATCGTGACATCACTGCGGACTTTGCCCCCCCCCCGGAAGCGATGGAGGCGCTGCGGTACCGGGAGGGGGAGGGGATTGGGGGGAATTTTGGGGAGATTTGGGGGAATTTGGGGGAATTTTTGGGGGGAATTTTGGGGAGGATTTGGAGGAATTTTGGAGGAATTTTTGAGGGATTTTTTTCGGGGGGATTTTGGGGACATTCGATGGAATTTCGCTGTTTCCGGGGTCGGAAATTTTTGGGTTATTTTGAGGTAATTTTTTGAGTTATTTTTTGAGGTTTTTTTGTTATTTTGGGGATTTTTTGGGGGGTTATTTTGGGGGCAGTTTTGGGACAATTTTTGGGTTATTTTTGGGACTTTTGGGCACTTATTTTGGGGTTATTTTTTTGGTTATTTTGGGGTTCTTTTTCAGGCTATTTTCTGGTTATTTTTTGGTTATTTTTGGGCTAATTTTGGGTTATTTTGGGGCTAATTTGGGGTTATTTTTGGGGTGATTTTTGGGTTTTTGGGTAATTTGGGGAGGTTTTTTGGGTTATTTTTTGGGTTAATTTTGGGCTCTATTTGGGGTATTTTTGGGACAATTTTTTTGACTTTTGGGGGTTTATTTAGCGGTTATTTTGGGGGTTATT